AGATAGCCCTCGTGTAGCTTTGCGCGAAATTCAAAACATTTGTTTGTCTTGTAACACCACACAACGACTGAATTTCATGTTCTTTTCTTTGCATTTTCGTAACTGAAGAGAACTGAAGAACAGAATATGAACTACGTTCTTTATTCAACTGTGGCCTGGTGAACCCTGTTATTACACGAAAGACCCCCGGTGGGACAGTGATAAGTTTATGGACTTAAAACGCTAAAATCCGAAGTTCGATTCCCCGCGGTGGACATAGTGGGTAGCCCAGTGTGGCTTTGCTCTTAAACATACAAACAATTGCACGAAAGACCTCGTCGGCACTGGACACAACATACATAGTGTCTTTTACATATTGTTATACATTTTTTCTTTACTCTCTCTCTTAATGTACTTAGAATATGTAACACTATAGCAATTAGTAGTCTCCCTCTCTCTCTCTCTAGTTGTGTGCATTGTTTATTGAATTATGTGAAACAATAAGAATGAAATGAAACACAATTTATCAATGCAATACCTTTACAATAAAACAGATTACTGAGTATTTTTTTTCTTAGAATGTTTTTGCTGGTTAGTACAAGAAATTGATTTAGTGTCAAGAGTTTTCTTTAAACCTGCTGTTTGATTGGCTAAGTCTACACAACGTGCACCAATCACGTGCACTTTTAAATAATGGTGCAAATTTCGAAGTGTGGTGGGGATGAATTATGCTATTGTGACGCTGAACTAAAGTAACGAGAGTTCTAATTTTCGAAACGGTTTGAGCTGCTGCAGTTTGATAAAACTTTGAATTGAAATTAGCACGAGGTATCCATATTCGTAGTAGTTTAAGATGAATTGTTTTAAACTTAGTCAACCATATGTTGTACTGTTAAGTAAACTTAAACTAAAGTGTTATTATTACTGTTAACGTTATTGCAATGTTAACATTGTTGGCACTACTAATAATAGTACTAATTAGTATTACTAATAGCAATACTGTTAGTATTATTCAGTATTTAGACTTCTGTTTCTTATTTGTGTTAAGAATAAGAGGTTATTAGTATTACTGCTAGTATAGTACTAGTTGTAATGAGAAATAGAAGTAGAATAACTACTCACTTATAAGTTATACTAATAAATAGTAGAAATATAACTATACTTTTGCTACCACTGTTTTACATTTTAGTACTTAGTACTACTACTACTAGTAGTAGTTTTAATAATCTCGTCAAAGTATTGTTAGTATTAGTCAACATTACTCTGTAGGCATAAGGATTATTTCAGGTATGAGTTGTATTTTGTTTAAAATCTAATACTGGTCAAACTCAGTACTACTAATATAGTCATAGTATTTAGTACAATTAAACCCTAATTTGGGTTTAAAAATAAAATTTTCACAATATTACATGACATTGTAAGCATGGCTATTTGACATGTATATATCATAAGAGTTGCTAAAATTTTCAAAATGACAATGAGTAACAGGCAAACCTCAAAAAGCCACTATGACTACTCTGCCTTAGCTCGTCAGTTGGGTATCCTTTCTTCTAGCAGTGTGTCTGGGCACCAACTTGAGACACCTGAACTTGAAGCACAATTATCACATTTGTCCAATGTATTGATTGCTTTTTAAGGAGTTTAATGTTATATCTTAAATGTATCTAATGTTAATAACTAAAATACATATTTACTTAATTAAGTTTAATAGCTTAAAAAGTTAAATGCAAATTTGTATATGGCAAGTTCTAGCTAGGTGTCCTCAGAAAGTAGCACAGCTTGTGTGTATTTGACCTGTCATGCAACTTGACAAGTTCTACTTGTTTTAATCTAGTGGTGTATTCCATATGACCTTGGTAAATGGAGTCTGTCCAATGGCCATTCTTGATAGGGGCTTATGAAGGGAAAAAAACCAAAGTTGATCAGTTCTTAAAAGTAATTTGAATAGAATTTAAGGGAAAAAAAAAGCTAGCAGTTATAGTTAAACTGTTTTAAGTCTGTTTGGTATGATAAATTCTTAACAATTTGTTGGAGTATGTAAGATTAGGATAAAGAAACACATGCTTTTATGAATGTTAAGCCTGTTTGTAGCTATAATATACAGACAACAAGGGACCACTTGGTATTTCAAGGCTGTCTTAGCAAAACCAATAAATTCCATAAGCTAGTCATCCCATTATAAAACTAAAACTAACTGGAACTTTGCCCATATCTTTCAAATCATAAACTCTTGTCCCATTGTTCTAACAGTATAGCACAAACAAATCAGAAGCCTTTATTCTCTCAATCCCGCATATAATCCAGGGAACTTTAATAATATAACCTCTTACCATTCTTTTAGGTAAAATTTCAGGTTGTCCTGAAGGCTGTATTGATTGTCTGAAAAAAATAAACATAGACCCTAAAAAAAAGATTGAATTAAGACAATATGGATGTACAAAGACCCTGAAAAAAGACTCAATTACAATAATTTTGATGTTTTCTCATCTTATTTATTTCCAAAAAAAGTACAGTTAATGTTTAGTTGACAATTTTACATCTTTATTCAACTAATATTTGATGCCTTATTTTCCGGGAAGCTCATTACATTGGAAAAAATAAACCCAAACCTAATATTACATAGGGAAACAAAGAGTCAATGACCTGTAATACTTTTAAGCAGAACAGCAGTCTTAGCCAATCATGTTCAATGTTTTTATTCTAACCAGCTTGGCCTGTCTGCCAAGTACAGTAAAGTACAGCCTGTAGTAAGACTAGACTTGCATCAGAACTCTCACACATATTACTATACTGTAATATGTACACAATGCCTGAGCTCTGCACATACACACACACACACACACACACACCACTGATGTATATTGTCATTAATATTTGTAGTTTGTATTGACCTGGAGAGAGGCAAAGTTAGTCTTATTTTATTTATTCTTATTCTGTTTGTGCTGATCTAAACTTTCATAAAATTTTGTTTGCAGTTATCATTATTATGTTCTATTTAAGTTGTGGATTTTTCCACTTTCCTCAGGGTAGCTAGGCCTTCCGTATTTCCTATACTTTATCAGTCATGTCTGTCTAACATCAGCCTTAGGCCTATATGTGCTAAATTGAAAGGGGGTCAGTGTTTCAACTGTAACAGTTAATGATGAAAATTCTGAGTTTGATTTTGTAAATTTGATCGTTTTAGTTCCTACCAAAAGCTTATCAGTAAGAAGTTGAGACAGCCATGTTAGTTTTATTGTCGTAAGCATCTATACTAGAAATTAATCTCACTAAATATTCGTGTTATTGGTGCTCCTTTTCATTGTGAATTCCCGCCCACCCATATATATGCATACAAACATTGCATAATATAATGTGTGGTAATGTAACTAACTGAGCTGTTTATACTGTACTGTGCTACTACACATAACTGTTCATTCTCAGTTGAACTCCATACAAACTTTATGTGCAGCACAGAGGCACAGCTTGTACACAATAGAAAGTTTAGTGAATAAAACAGTATTATTAGCCAATCAGAAAAGCAAACTTTTCCTTATGTTTTAAGCCCCTTTTGGTGGATTGAATAACATATCTCTTGTACAGAGTTCAATCTTTTTTTTTATTATTTTTTTGTGGAGGTTCAAATTTTCTAGTTCATAGTTAGGAAATTTACTGATGATTTTGGTCGAGGATCAGAGACAACGTTAGTTGTGTAGTGTGCACATGGATAAGTGTACAGTAGACTGCGATGCTGTTTTGAGTAAGGGTCTGTTCCAAGGTGTTAGTTATCCATTAGGCAACACAGGGGATTAAGTTGGTCATCCAAGGAAGTTTTTAGTCATCTTGAACAACCGTTAAAATTGATTTCTGTTAGATTTGTATTTCAGTACTTATTAAAAATTCAAATGCTGTACTAGCCTTACCTGTAATATTTAACTTATATTTAAATTATTTGGGTGTAGATGAGAAAGTTTATCTTTTTTAATTTAAAAAAAGAGACCAATAATCTAGACATCAAGTCCTACTATTTAGGCAACCTGGTGAAGGGATTCAGAAAGACCTAGATCTTTGTAACAAGACCTTCATTTGTACTATGTAAGCATATTTATATCATTCTGGCTATTCAGTTTTGGTTTGTAAGCACTGTCTTACCAAACATACCAGGATAATACATTGTGACAAAGGGGATGTGTATTTAATCTCTAGGTCTGACTTCTGCATTAACCATAACTTGGACTGTATAACATTTAATTTCTGCTGTTTGTCCATATCTGGTAAACTAGATCCCCAATCCTCTTGTAGGACAACTTTCTGACCCTCAAATTGCATTCTGAATTGTCTCAAAGATTCAGTTTGGGATTGTGAAGTAGAATCTGAATATGGAATGCTTTATTATTTGGTGCATTATTGTTTTAAATTGTCAGCTCAGCATTGTCTAGAATGTTGCAGATCAATAAAGCATTAATGGTCATTACCAAGAGATCAAGTCCAGACATGCCAAAACAGTCCTGACATTGTACTATGTAGGTCTTTTCACATTGCAACGGTGTAGTCATTTTGTAAAGCATTCTTAATGTAATTTTGATGACGAGACTCATCTATATGAAACATGAAGTGAGCATGGTAATTCCTTTTTGCATATGTTAGTTTTCATTATTTTTCAACATGAGAACTGATGGCTTCTGTTAAAGGCTGTGAGCTGTCACTATGGTCATTCATTAAAACCCTGAATGATGAATTACAGGTTGTGAGCTGAAGCTGTGGACATTCATTAAAGTCCTGAGCGATGATTACAGGCTGAGAGCTGCAGCTGTAGAAATTTGTTAAAGTGATATACTGTGAAACAGATTATTCAGATTAAATTGTTCAGTTAACTACTATGCTGAAAAGCTCAAATTTTGTATTTTTTAAAGTATTCATTTCCATTTATTTTGTACTAGATGTCCACTAACATTTAACCAAAGAAGGATCAGTTCTTCATTACTCTACCAAGTTCCACCATGTTTTATTTACTGTCATCATCTTGTCTGTTATGTCTGTATTATATGGATGACTGAAATTTAAAGGTTATGATTTTGAAAAAAATAAAAAAATTGCAGTATGCAGTGAAAGTACAAAACTTTAAGATAATTTTTAATGTACAATTTTACAACATGGAATGAAATAAACAGATCATTCTGGTTAAGTAAAGAACATTTCAGTGCTAAGGACAGTGATGAGAGTCAAAGTCCTTAAATATATTTATAAAGAAAAAGGTGTGGTTAAGAAAATTTGACTCATTACTGTTGGTTAATAATGACTATGAAAAAGTCTTGGCTATCACCTGCAAAAACTTTAATTGAAAGTTCATATAAAACTGATAAAATATCATGAGATTGTTTCCAACCTTTTTTTCCTTACTTAATTTCAGGTGAACTTGCTGGTGGTCACCTCCAACAATGACTTCTGTAAATGTTCTTAAAGGACCTGGTCATAAAGCAAAAGAAGGAGTAAAGGTAGGGAGGTCAAATCTAATGTTGTACATTCAATCTTAAGTATAACCAGCATGTCTGTGTTTGTACTAGTGATGAATCTAATGTTGTACATTCAATCTTAAGTGAAACCGGCATGTCTGTGTTTGTACTAGTGATGAATCTAATGTTGTACATTCAATCTTAAGTGAAACCGGCATGTCTGTGTTTGTACTAGTGATGAATCTAATGTTGTACATTCAATCTTAAGTGAAACCAGCATGTCTGTGTTTGTACTAGTGATGAATCTAATGTTGTACATTGAATCTTAAGTGAAACCGGCATGTCTGTGTTTGTACTAGTGATGAATCTAATGTTGTACATTGAATCTTAAGTGAAACCGGCATGTCTGTGTTTGTACTAGTGATGAATCTAATGTTGTACATTCAATCTAAAGTGAAAACAGCATGTCTCTAGTATAGTTATTTGTCTGTTATATTGATAAGACTAACATTGTAAAATCAAACTTAACATTTGCCACACGAGCTAGCCAGAGTATCTTTTAATACTGAGCCTAGGATAGTAAACGGGGGGTAATTCTTGAAACTGGTGATTTAGGATTATTTTGATAGGTCTTGATGAATGAAGCTCAGCACAACTTTTAAAATTAAAAAGAAAAAAAAAGCTAAATATGAATGGAAATATGGCATGATTAAACTTATATGGATTATACTATGGTGGTACCATACTGGGCATTATACAATCCACTTTTATATTTACTATTCATTGCATAATTGGCCTTTTTAATTTGAGAATTGCTAGGGAAAGCAATACACCGTGCATCTGCTTAAACTTCACTGTTGCCATCTTTGGGCTTTACAGTGCCATTAGTTTCACAAAATATTGAATCTAATGATTTCTTATTTATGATTTCAGTCCCCCCCTTTTTGAAGATAATGATACTATTGTGGCCATTTTGTTTGTTTTGCTGTCAATGGAGTAATCAATTGATGAATCTTTGATCCAGCTGGTATGTCAAATTGGTTGGGATATCGTTGAATAATTTCCTCTCATCTGACCTGGACCCATGGTTTAGCTTAATTACTACACTTAAAGCATCACATTAACAACCACATCTAGAACATTTTTAGCATGTTTCATTGTTACATCACTTTACATTTACAAGTTAACTTCTCAATGTTGCCTCTCATGGTCACAGGTTTAGTCCAGTGACCTAGACCTTGAAAATAGTGCCAAATTTCTTTTTGTCTAATTAAAACAACCCAAACCTTTCTGGAATGACTCATTTTTTGGATCCACATCAAGATGTTGGGCTGGTTTATGTAGCAGATGTTAAAGTGAAATTAACAAAAGTTGGTCTCACATTTTGGAAAACTCATTAATTCTCAGTTTTATTTTTGGCTCGTGTTATACTATACATTTATATTACCCATGAGTTATTCCGAGCTGCTTGCATGCATGCCTTGTGAACAATTTCTTATTATATTATTATTTATTTTACCTAATCTAACCTAAAGAGTTTCCTGTTTTTACATTTTAGTTACTTTTATAATAATAAATAAAGAATACACGTGAAAAACAAGAAATAAAGTACACTTAACCCTACTTTTTTATATTAATCGTAGTAGTGCACAAAATAATTTTTATTTAATTAAATATTGCACCAAAGAACATAGAATAATAACATGCAAAAAGCTGACAATATCCTACAACTTTCACAATTTTTGTGGCTTTTTAACTATGCGACAAGAACTGTTACAAATTTATCCAAACTAGCCAATGTGTTTTCTGTGGGAACGAAGCTTGTACTGAAAGAAAAATTAACATTTTTTGTATGGAAAACAATGTAATATGGTATGTCATTTGACAGATGAAAACTTTGGCTTTTTATTGGTTAGAAATAATATAGTATTAAACATAAGAGAGAAATATTAACAAATCTCGAGAGAGAGGATGTAACAGGTGGATGGGGTAAGAGGAGTCTGATTTTCAATTTCATGGCTCTGTAACTAAACAAAATTGAAGGCTACAAAAATTAAGTAATTTGCATTAAAGTGCATACTTCTTGGAGGGGAGGTAAATAAATTAGAGAAGAGGGGATGTCTAGAGAAAAAATTTATTTTTCACACTAGGGGAAATTCAGGATCTATTTTTAATATTGCTTTATAAAATTAAGGTAACTCACTAAAGACTTTGTGACATGCACAGTAAAGGATGCCTGAGGCAAGAGGGATAATTACTGATGAAAAGTCACTAGACATTTTCAAGTCACTTCTTTCTCTGGTTAATTGTTTGTTGTGTTGTTTTGTAACAGCTGGGGTGTTTGGTATTTCTTGTAATTTTTAGGTTTTACTTTATATATCAGGAACTATTTTGTTTGAAACTGAATAAATGTGTTATTAGAATAAAAACATACAATTTACCTATTTTTCATTAGTTGCCATAATATGTTAAACAGTATTTGCTAATTGCTAATCAAATTCAGTTTTGATTAGAAGTTTCTGTTAATCAAATCCACCAAACTATTTTGTCCCCTGTAATGACCTTTATTTATTCCTTCAATAGAAATCTTCAAGGGTTTTTGTTAAGGGACATGAGGATTTTGTAGTTCATTTTATTTTATTTTGGTGTAGTCATAAATATCATGTATTATACGAGTTCTATTGTATTTTTTATGCATTTTGTAACAGATATTTTTTACCATGTTCAGCCCAGCTAAAAAGCTCTATTATTGAACAAAACTAGTAGGTTTAAAATGTTTTTTACATGCCTGTAATTGGAAATATATTATGGACTATTAAAAGTAATGTAGTAAAAGCCATCTGCAGTCTAGTGTGATTTTAATTAGTACTATTAGGCATTTCGGTTTCATTACATCGCTTGCGTTTAAAGCAGTAACATTTGTGTGATTTTTATCATTGTTATTTGATTTGTTGTTTTTAATAATACCAGCTTTTGACTTTTAAAGCAATATCACAAATGTGATTTTTATCACATTTACTATGGGTATTGGTTTTATTATTTTGATGGCTTTTGGCAGTAAAAACAATAACATTAAGTGTTCAAATATTAATTAATTTGTGTTGTACAAGACAATCTGAAAAAATTGAATTTTGAAAGCAATATTTTTTTTTCTTCAACAGAATGACAAGCTAGTAAACAATATTTCTAAAAGATCTGCCGAGAATTCTCCAGAGGATATCCCCAAGAAACGGTCAGTATTTGGAGATATTACTAATGCTCTGGTGGGTGGACATAAGAAAGTTTTTGGTCAAGAAGTGAAGAAAGTTGGCATAAGATTTTCCAAAAAGCAGAAGAAAACACAGCAATCTGAGCAAGTGCAAGATAGTTTAGAAGAACAGAATGCTGACAACACGTACTCTGAAGATACCATTAGGAGTAGTCAGGAACAAGGGGAAGATACTACTTTGTACATTACGGCAGTTGAAGAACAATGGTCGGTACTGGTTATGTGTTAATATTGTTCATTGGGGTATGATAATGGCTTGGTGTTTTAGGGATTAACTAACATCTTGAGTTTCAGTATCATTAACAATTATTCTATTCATTTTCTTAAAGTTTTTAATAATTATTGAAAACTTTGTTGAATTATATCTTTATTTTATTTTTACTTGACTATATTCTGTTATGTTGAGTCAGAAGATAACTTTAGCCTTTCCCCATAGTGGTGACTTTTAACAATTTTCTTATGTAACTTACATGCTAGAAGATAAGTTTAAAAAGTCTGTTATGGTGATGAACTGTAACACTTATCATAAGTAACTTTATGCATTATTAATTAATTTTACTGTTCTTATTTGTTAAATAATGGCGAGTTAAAACATTATTGTTTTGTAGCAAAATATTTTCTGTCCATTAGTGTGGAATCAGAAGATAAGAAACCTGAATGTGAAATTACAGCCTATGTTTCCCAAATTGTTCCATCTGGAGTCTTTGATTTTGACCAGGAATGCCTTGAAGACCCTTTTTCTGAGGCTGTGTACGCAAAGAACATATTTAGCTACTACAGAGAAAGAGAGGTAAGATTCTTGTCTAGTTTATTTAGAGTTCAAAAACATTGAACAAAGAGCATTGAAATCTACTTGCAAGTCCATACTTATCATGTAAAGGTATTGTATATTCTGAATTAAAAACTATTGAATGAAGGGCATTTAAGTTTACTTGTTTTCTGTTTACCTAAGTGGCAGTTACATGTATATAAAGCATATTTAAAGTCATCCTGTAAAAAATGAAAGAGAAATGTTTTATGGTAAATTTGGCTGTTTTTTTAATATTAAAACTTTAAATTTTTAGAGAATAAGGCTTCTGATTGTAACATGGTATTATTTACTTGTTAGAGAATAAAGCTTATTTTAACATGGTATTATTGACTTGTAGAGAATAAGGCTTATTGTAGCTTGGTATTATTGACTTATTAGAGAATAAGGCTTATTTGTAGCATGGTATGCCTTATATTGTTAGAGAGTAGGACTTGTAACATGGTATGCCTTATATTGTTAAGAGCGTAGGACTTCTTACTGTAACATGATATGCCTTATATTGTTAGAGAGTAGGACTTGTAACATGGTATGCCTTATATTGTTAAGAGCATAGGACTTCTTACTGTAACATGATATGCCTTATATTGTTAGAGAGTAGGACTTGTAACATGGTATGCTTTATGTTGTTAGAGAGTACAACTTCTAGCATGGTATGTATGAACAAACTATTTTATTGTGTTGTTGTACAGTGCACGGTAATGATATACATACATATTGAAGAACATAACACATGATAGTTAATTATACACGTGTCAGGTTTTTATGTATGGGCAGGATTCTTTACAGTAAGTGTCTGTGACTTGTTTGTGATAAATTTTAACAATAAGCTTTAAATAATTCCTTTTTTTTTATCCAAGTCCACACAGGCTGGTTCAGTTACTTTAGAACACAATTTGATAAGGCAAATTATTTTTCTCTACCATGTCTGTGATAATTTCACTTTACAAATTGCCACTATACACTTTTTATGGCTAAGCTCACAATCACCCAGTTTAGATTGATCTATTCTATCTAACTAACTCAAACTACATTTTAGACTCATATATCACAACAGAAGCCTAGAACATTCCACACCCTACGAAATATTATGATGCAATAATACTCAATTAAAAACAGTGAGAAAAACATAGTAGGTTCTAGTAACATCATTCAATAATACAACAATTGCTAATTCGCAACAACTGAACTACAGAATGTATGATTCATAAACAGTTACATAAACTTATCACTTCTAAAAATAATTAAATTTAACATTCTCACTATACTTAAACCATCTAAATCATAACTCTTGCATTAAACTTAAACAGTCGTGTATATCTAACAATATGCTGCTCTTTAAGAAAAATATTCTAAATATTTTTTTTATACTATGTACAAAGACTTCAGTTTGTGCACAAAGTATATTCATGCAGTCTGCACCAACATTTGTAACCCCCTTGATGGATTCGATGTGGAACTGGTAGTTCTGGAGGTACAATGCTCATCTCATGATCCTCACACTTTCAATTTTGTACCTCTGTATCTATGCAAGTAGCTGATGGTCCATCTGGATAATGAACTCTTTCCTGTAAAGATAATTCTGGAATTTCCGGATGGCAAATATGCTGTCCATACACACTCGTTCAGTCACAGGGTAGTTCTCACTACTCAACAGGTCTTTACTGACATAAACTACAGGAAATAGTCCATCTACATGTTCTTGCAAAAGTTATGCTTAAATTCCAATGTCTGAAGCATGAATAGTTTGTTGAAGTCTAGCATTCTAAGGATTGACAAACTTCCTAACATGTTCTTCAACTTCTGGAATATCATCTGCAGTGGTTGTTCTCACTTCAGCATGGTTTGTGATGAACTTTCTATAGTATCCTGCTAACCCTAAAAAGGATCTGACTTGCTGCTTGGTCATTGAAGCTGATGCTTCTTGTATGCGGGTTAGCTTCTCCTCTTCCATGCCTATCTGTTGGTTGTCCATCTTGTGTCCAACAAAGTCCAGCACAGAATAACCGATGCAGCTCTTAGAGGGTCTGATGGTCAGACTGCCCTCACTCCCCTGAACAGCTGTCTAATTTTCTCCAGGTAGTTTTCCCATCTGGCTGTGTGAGTCAAAGTGTCATCCATATAACTCTTTCAACCCAGGCTCGGTCCCTGGGACTGACCTCTTAACCATTTTGTGCTTGTTATAGTTTTCATGCTATAACTTTTTAATTAGTAAGCGAATGTTAACAAAATTTGGCAGTTTATCAGTAAACATTACAATGCTTTCATACACAAAATATCTAATATTCTTATTAAGTCTTAAAGTTTGTACAGCAAAGTTTTTCTCATGCCTTTTTT